GTTCGATTATCCTTCATTAAATTTGATAACTCTAGTGAGCACTTGATCATAAATAACTACTCTAGATTCATGACTTTAGGGGGCCAAATCAAATTAAGTTCAACCTAAAATTTTCTTTGTTGATGGCCCTAAGTGGGCATAAATATGTGATTTACTTGAACACAAGAAATTAACTAATTAATGTTCCTACTATTTTTGGTGCATAATTTAGATTGACATAAATGAGTAAACTTGAATGCCGATAGAATGATGTGAAAATAGTGAGTCAGGAGAACAAAAGTTTCATTTTAAATGTTAGAGGGATTAATATGCCTATAGGGCTATGTTTTGCTTTTCACTTTGGGGGTATAATAAACTAATCGCTGAAGCACTTTCAAATAAATTTTATAATTACCACACTCAACCATCTGGGAGGGCATAGCTTTCATGTCCACAGCCAACACCTCCATATGTAATGAATTTCAAAAAAAAATCACTAGTTTATTGTAAACTGTTTCTAATGCTACTGGATACCAATAGAAGTAATTAGAAAAATGTGTTTGCATAAACTTAAAGTTAGAGTTTACAAGCCTTACATAAAATTTATAATTTTGATAAAGTGTTTGAGGTCCACCTTGACCCACCTAAAGCTGGAAATTTAGCACATGATAGCTGAAGTCTTAGTGTTTAGTTTATATACTTATATAGAGCTAGTGTAGCATGGACAAAGGCCTCTAGTGAATAAACTTGACCTAATGTCACAAAAAGTTATAAATATGGGATTCAATATTATTTGGATAAAGTGGATTCATTAGTCAACTCGTTTTGCACATGTAGTTTGCTACATCACTAAGATTTTATATAAAATTCTAATTCACTTCCCTCATGGTTTTTGTTTTAGACTATATAAAATTAATAATTAGTACTAGGGTTATTTGCCTTAAATGTTTTCTAGTTTTAATGTTGGAAACATTTTACCCAAATTATCCCAATGTTGATAAAATACTGAAAATACTTGTATAATGACAAGAAACAGTCTATTTTTGTTTTCTAGACAGATCATGTCTCTTTCTATTTTCTAGAAGAGAGTTTACATGCTTAGTAAGATGCATTTTATATATTAATAAGAGTAATTTAACATTTCTAATACATTTATGAGATCATTTATCACTTGGAAACATCATATTTTAGCTCAAGACAAAATCTCTTTCATTGTTGGTTCTTATTGCCTATATGGGTTTTGAATTCCACATATGAAGTGAGTTAACTCACATCTAAAAATATATATAGTGCATAATAGCCAAATTATCAAATAAAATAATTCAATAATTTACTTATATGCAGAAGGTTCAAAACTTTAGTGATTGATGTGACTTATTGTTATATAATAAATCATGTAAATTTAAATTTTATAAAACTAAAATATAACAATTTTAAAAATTTTAGAAATATTTCAAAATAAATAAATTAATTATAATTCAATAAGAAGTATCAAAATAGTAGAGAATTTTTAAGTCAATCATAGGGATTATAATATAATTTTTTGTAAAGAGTATAATTTTTTTTGTGATTTTGAGACTAAATAATAAAGATAAAATATATTTTAAATTCATAAGAAAGAGAAATAAAGGTGTGGATGTCAAGATGACATTAGCGGCCCAACAAATATGAATCAGAAGAAAATAGAGTTCTGCCTATTGATTCTTACATAAATAATTATAGATAATTTAATTGACCAAATTAAAATCTGTAAAAACTAGATGAATCATATTTGAATGAAGAAGGTTTTATACTTGAAAACACAAAAGTTGTCACTGGATTAAATAAAAATTAAGTTTAAAGTAGAAAAGACATAGTTTCAATCTCATGGCAATGATTGTTAGAATTTTGTATTGAGAGAATTATCATATAATGTCCACATCCTTAAAAGTTCATTTTTAACAAGAACAACATGAATAATATCTAAATATTTTTGTGAAGTCTAGAAACTAATGAGATAAGTCTATAAATTGTCTCCAATAGTTGTCACTTGATGGAACAAAAAAATGACGACTTTGTAGATCTTTAGTAATTGTCACCTAATAGGGATAAGCTAAATGAGGGTAAGACACATCTTAAGGAGTTTCAATCTCAAGTCCATGCAATAAGATGAGACTCTTCATTACTTCTGGTACACTCTTGAGAGGTGATAACTTATCTTTTGACATATCATCTTTTTTCTAATGATGACTTATTTGCTGATCAATTAGAAATCATTTACTAAATGAATTTGTGATTCTTTTATCTAAAATTACTTAACAATTTTAATAACAATACTTCGTGAATTGTATTGATAATATTTTTGTCAATGATTGAGCGATTCTAATACCTTAATCATTGCTAGACAATTTATAACAAAATTATGATTTAATTAAATAAAAATATAAATTTTGACTTTAGTAAGATTAAACCCCCCTTAGTCCCTCACCTACATAAGAAAGAGTAAAATAAGTATATGAATACCCTTATAAACTGATATAAAGATATCTTCTTTTCATAAATAAGAGATATTTTAGGTATTAAAATTATTAAAAATTGTCTAGTAAGTTATCGTCTATTTAGTACTACATTCTTTATTTTTTTGAGCTTTGAGATGAATACATGGTAACACAAGATTCTATGATCAATAAGCCTTTGTCACCCATGTGTATGGCCACTCTTTGCCTAATGCCAAACTATCCATTAGTGATGTGGAAGGAGAGTAATGCACATGTGTCTCTTACTAGTCCTTAGCCACTTGAGCCCCTTACTCATGACTCTATTCAATTGTGCTTCTAACTTGCTTACAAGCTTAGTTGGTTAATTGGTCCCCTTCTTTTTATATATATTTTATTTATTTATTTATTTTCATTTCTCTTAAAAATATGATTATAAAAATTGTATAAATTTACATAAAGTCACATAATTAGCTAAAAATTTACATTAACCCACTTTTATAATTTAACATAAAAATAAGTCTATTTATTATGAGTTAAGACTTAAACTATATTTTTAATTAATTATTAACTCATGATAATAAAGACTTCTCAATAACTCAAGAAGTAATTCAACTCATTTAGTTGAAAAAAGACTTATCACTTATTGTAATAAAGTCATTAGTTAAAGTGAGTTAGCTCACTTAGCTAAACAAAGTTCAACACTTTGTGAGAAAAATACATACAAGGATAAATTGGCAATCCTATATCTTAAAATTTTTTTTTATGTAACCCTTAAATTTATTACAGATAATGTATTATAAAATTTAAAAGTTGTTATAATTTTTTTTTTTTTTTTCAAATAATTTCATTTTTTAGTTCTTTACATAAAGTGAGCTTATTAATGAGTTGATTCCCTTAATAAGAAGGCTATTGGGGTATAGCAGTACATGATTAAATACAAATAAGGTGGACTACTAGAATCCTTCACAATTTCAATTAGAAGAATGCAATTATCCATTGGTGGAATTTCTAGAACCCTTTTTTAGCATTTTTCATACTAAGCAAGTCAACCCACAAGTCATCTCTCAATGTTAAAATAAGAGAAGATGTGACTTTGGAAGCAATAGATCTCAAGTTGTTGTTAGAGTTTGCCAAGGGTTACCAAATGATATTATCAATATTTTAATAATTAAAATTGAACAAGCTCCTTCTTGAAAAGAACAAAATATATGAGGATACTTGAAAATGGTTTTGTGTCAATGAGACTTTACTAGGAGTTACAATAGCACAGTACCAACATTTTGAAACTTACCCAATATAAATTTGAAATAATAAAAATTATTATTTCACTCTTGTGTGCATCATGTCATCATCAAAATTCAAAGCATACAAAAAGTATGGAATCTCATGTTTCTATTATTAATCTACATGCAAAATCTTTGTGCCTATGTGGAGTCTACCACTCCAACATACATTTGCCTGCCTTGGAATCACTTCCCTCAATAGTCTTTGCTAGTCTATGTACCTACTCTAAGCTTCTAATATCTTCTCATGGTCATGTGGTTGATTCAGGACAGCTATGTCCACACATTTAGGTTAGGTATCTAATACTTCTATTCATTAAATGGAAATGATGCTTCCATATGCTAAAATGTTACCATGTTAGTTAACTTAGAGGGATTTGTCTCACTATTACCTTTGTGAATTCATAAAAATACCTTTAGTAAGAGTAATTCAGATTTTAGCCAACTCATCTAACACCTTAATTTAGCAATGGCTTCTTAAGCATCACATGGTCTTAAGTAATTACCCATTTCATTTATACACGTCATATGAATTGATTTTCTTCATTAATTATTCTGAGATAAGTTGGTTAGTGTGTGATCTTAGCTAGTATAAATTTTGTGCATCTTGTCCCACATCAAGTCCCCAACTGAACTTGTATCTAGATGAGCATGACTTTTGGAACGCTTCTTGATGCATCATGAGTCCATTGTGTAGAGTTTTCAGGCATGGGGAGGGTTATAAAGTGACTGGGTTAAAGCAAACTAATAGGATCAAAAGTCAAGGGACAATGCTTCTTTTTCCCAAATTGGAAAAACACACAAAAAAAATCTCAACTCCCACTTGGAGAAATAAGTTGTGAGATCCTCTACTAACTTGAAAGAGCATCCTAACAAGAAATATCTACTGGAGCTCATTGTTTAGAGTTTCCAAGTTGGTGGTTGATTGTAAGCGAATCGAAAACCTTTCCAATGCTTTTTTTAGTTTTATGAACTCCCTCCTCCCGGGGATGGGCTTATCTTGGTAAGAGCCATGGGATAACACCAGATGCGATCATAGGATTAGTGGACCTTGCTCGTTCAGCTGCATGATGACTATCATGCTTTGAAGCTCCGGAATCATGGAACCATGCCCCAACATATGAAACATTGGAAATGGGCAGCTGGGTAACGCCTGCATTTTATCTGCATGGGAGACAATCACGTCTCGTAGAGATAATGGAAGAGGGGGAGAAACGTAGATTGAATGCAACGCCCATCACGGTGAATTAGTAAGTATTAATCAGAAGGCAGGATCACCGCAGCCGCAGCAGCAGCAGCAGGATCTCCGTTGAGCAACAGGAATGGCCTCCTGCGGATTCTTCACACCACCATCGTAATTGACAATACCCATGATAAACCAAAACTGGTGGCTGTCAGGTGAGACCACCTGAGGGTATTTATCTGATGAATTAGCTTTCTTGCCGAAGGATTGGCATCTCATAGTTGATGCAATGGAATTATCACCTGCCTTTCACAAGAATCGTCAAGAGAGAAAGAGAGAGAAAGAGAGAGATGTCAAGCTTATGGAACATGGACAAGATTACAACAGTCAGGGGAGGCAAAAGATGGAAATTAACATGGAGATGAGATAAAAAAAAATCAGTTGTCAGTTCAAGAATGATGACTCTTGTTTTCTAAACTAACCTTCAGCTGGGCGCCCACCCCGACATGATCGCAAAAAATGTGAATAAAAGAGATATTAATGGGAATCAACCAAGAGGTCAACCGGTATTATAGTGATCCCCATCTGCTGATATGATAAGGTTCTAGCAGGAAAAGAATATTTGCAGAAAAAATATTATACTATTTCCGGCATACAACTAATAAAAAAAAATGCTTCTGGATGGGAAAGAAAATTAGTTATTTGCGTTCATCCAAATGGCCTCAGTAACTGGCATCGAATCAGCATTCTCTGCGCATTGTACTGAGAGTTATTTCCCTCTCAAGTCAATACGCTTGAACCCTCCTAACGAGATGGTGTGAAGTAGAAGGAAGATTAAGAAAAACAGAAATCGAGCAGCGTTTTCACATCCATCTCCAGTTTTCCTTGTACTTCATCTTATCTGTTTTGTTCCCACTCCATATTGTTGCCATTTTGGACCCAATTTTATTTCCGTGCAGAAAAACAAAACGAAGGGTAAAAAAATCATTTTACAATGTCATAATTATATTGGATAAATATCAATATATCAATATTACACGATACTAATCCTTAGAAAAAAAAAAATAGTTGACTCAACAATACAGTAAAGTTAACACAACACAGCATCGATGGGGAAAATAAAATAGCTCTGTAATAGCTGCTAAGTAGCCAATGGATACTTGGAACTAGATTAAAGACATTGCAAGTGATTTTTTGGTTTGATCGACAGGAAGTCGAAGCCTTATGAATGAGATAACACAAATATTCAGTTTTCAACCCTGACGAACAAATTTTCACATCTTTATGTGAGATTTTACAGTAAAATAACTATGGCACAAATAACATCTAGATGAATGAGGAGTCTCCTTTTCCACACTAGTCCCCTATCCCTAAGCAAGGAAAGCTGGTACCAACACTCCTTTCGACCATAAAGAGTCCCATTCTACGGTTAAGGACACACCAACCCAAAAGCTGCAAACTTGCTTTAGTTTTCTACATCAGGTAAAGGTTTCATAGCACTAGAGAACTAGTACAAAAGTGAGTACCGGGTACACTCAGGCACTTACAGGATAGTTAACTTAGAAATAACGAGCAATCACTGAGGATTAAACTATCTGTCTTCTAGCACCGTGAATATAGGGTAAAATTTGGGCTAACAAATCACTGTTCAACAATATACTAATTAAGTGTTATTTTAACCAAACATTTTCTATAACTATTATTAGTGCATAGCACGAGCATGTGCAATTCTCCTACCCAACCTTCTCTCTGTAATAATGAATGGCTTGAGCCTGGCATGAACCAGCTGATGCCATCAACAACTAAGAATGACCAACCTTTAGCTGATTCTTTGTTAATTGCAGTGGTAGGAAGAAGACCAATTAGTAAAGCCATGGATGATTCTTCTCTGAATTGGAAAACCAACAGAGGAATCAATAAATATTTCTAACCGTGATGGAAAGAAAAGGCAACGTACAGACCTGATTTCAAGATAATTTAATTTTTTCAATCACTTATTTAAGGCATTTATGAATGCATTCTCCTCTCCAGTTTTCAACATGTTTTTAATTTTCAATAATTTTCGCAGGAGTGGCAAATGTGAGACTGTCCAGACCAAAGTTAATCAATCCAGGATCCGATCCTTATTCTATGACACATGTGAGATACAGAGTTTCTCCACTGCATAATTATGAGTAGATCTTTAATTATCAACAAAGATGTACTAATCTTGGTTGATGAGAATATTGCAACAGGATTTTTGTTACGCCATTAGATTTCTGACATTAACAGTGAACTGAACCAGTCACAAAGTTAATATTTTCAACATTATTTCACAATGATTTGCCATGAACACCAATGAGGCTTCCGTGAGAAGGAAAATATCCTGTAACAACAGTGAGATCGATTCCTACACCAGTTGACGGTCCTCAAAACGCCGGCTTCAAGTGGAAGATTCTGAATTCCTAGCGTAGAAGGCGTATCCGGGCTGGGGGGAATCAGTCATCTAAACTGACCTCTGTTCTACCCATCAGAAAATCAGCTCAAGAGGTACGCTCAGCCCATAAATTTATGCTCAGAGGTATCATTTTTCACACAGACCATCGATAATCAAGGACCACGAGGAGGGTACATCTGTCTCACCAGAAATGCAGAAGCCTCAGGAGAAGACGAGTAGAGAGAGAGAGAGAGAGAGGTAAGAGGATGCTCTGCAACTGGGGCCCGTCAAGAATTGGGTAAACCCCTGGAAAGGAACCCATTTTACGCGCAGCTGGTCAAGCCAGTCACCTGGGTGAGGGAAGGTCAAGTTTCCTCTCTAGGCTCTACCCATCTAAAAATAAGCTAGGAGGTATGCTCAGCCCATAGATTTATGTCCAGAGGTGTCGTTTCTTATACAGATAATAAATAATCAAGGCGACGACGAGGCTACATCCATCCCACCAAAAATGCAGAAGCCTCCGGCGAAGACGGGGGGGAGAGAGAGAGAGAGACAGACAGACAGACAGGGACAGAGATAGAGACTGAGACAGAGACAGAGGGAGAGAGAGGGGTACGAGGATGCTAAGCAACTAGAGCCCGTCAAGAATTGGGTGAACCCCAAGAAAGGAACCGACTTTAAGCATTCACCGGGGGTTGGGGAAGGTGAAATCCCCTCTCAGATTGGACGCCGCTGTCGGCGGGTCAGTTTCCGCCATAATTCGCCGGCAGAGGCGGCCTCTCTGGCGGCCGAAAGCTGAATTTCAGTGGAGAGGGGCGGAAGAAGAAGAAGAAATTTCTGACACCGGCGGAGTCCTCTATACCGGTGGGACTCCGAGGAAGGGGACAGCTCGGGAAAAGGATAAAAAGCCTATCGTTGACTTGTATGGGCGGATCCTCTCAGAGGAAACTGCCGACCCGTTCAGACGGGGGAAGAATTCACTGGATCGTTGAATAGCGTAGTCGTGAGGAAGAGGGAGGAAGGGTAATGTGTGGGGCCCCAGTGGAGGCAATTGTCGTTGGATTGAGATCGAACGGTGAAGGTAGCGCAGGGCGGGCACGCTCGAATATTTTTAAGCGGTTGGGGAAGGATGATGTCGGTCGAAGAAACCGCGCAGATTTCCTTCGGGACGGTCTGGTGTCTCGCGCTGTGGTACAATAATCCGTCTCTAGCGGAAACTACGGGGTCAGGGTTAATAAGGGAAGGAGTCTGGCGAGATTCATCTGGTATTAAAGTGTTCCGCGTGTACAACAGACCGTTTTTTTTTTTTTTTCTCTCACATCGTCTTCACCCCTCTTTTCCGACATTCAGACTCGGCCTTCTTCTTCCTGTCCCCATTTCAGCCCTCTTTCTCTCTCTCTCTCTCTCTCTCTCTCTCTCTCTCTCTCCTCTTTCTATCTCTAAAAGCTCGCCAGGTCGCTGGTTCTGGTGTTGTCTGGGTGCTGAAATTGGTGATTGATTCGTCGGGGAGACTGCGTGAATTGTGCGGGATTGAAATTTCGTAGCGTCTCTTCGAGGGCAGCATCCCTTTGTTGTTTGTTCATCAAGGTACGGTGATCGACGCAGCAGCGGTGGAGAGAGGATTGGGGCTAGGATCAGCCGCCTCGTCGCAGCCTATGCTTAGCCGCAGATGCGGGAGCAGGTGGAGGAGGTGGATGTCGGAGAATCGAGGTCTGATCTATGCATAATCTGGAGGATAGAAAGAGGGAGCTGGGGAAATCAGGGTCCGTGTCGGGCGCTGGATAGATGCTCCACTTCCAGGCGGTCCTTCTTGGGCTGCCTAGTGCGCTGAAACTGGCTTGTCTTCTCTTTGTGCCCGTCTTTGCCCTGGTGATCCGCCGGAAATGGAAGCTCGCCGCCGCCAGCAGGGAGGAGGTCAAGCGTCTTGTAATTCTGGCTGCCGAGGAGGCTGCTAACGCTGAGATCGAGGCTGCTAACGAGTACCGTACCCGCCTAGAGTATGAGTCTTCACCGTCGTCTGCTGCTGCTTCGGAGCCGAAGGGGAAGCCTATGTGCGCCGTGTGCAACAGGCCCACCACCACCCGCTGCTCCCGCTGCAAGGCTGTCAAATACTGGTTAGTTGGATGCTAGACCCTTTTCCTGTTTACATGGTCATCCTTCTATTCCATGTCTTTATCTGTTTCTAGTGTTGTCATTTTTCTTTGGTTAATTACGTGACTTCTTTTATCTGCATGTGTTTATTTGTAAACTTTACTTCTGCCAGTGCACTCCATGTATTTATACCAGTTCTGGGTGTGAGTATACTCGATTCAGATTCGAAGATAGTTGACGATATAGGATTTCATAAGGATATTATCTTAATGATTGTGATCGTTAGTTAGGCTGTCCTTTGATACTCTTTGAATAATAATTATTGCAAGTTATGCTGAAAATTCATAGTTTAAGAATAGGTCAATTAACGCATACTGAAAGTTTTGTTTTCCTAATATTATATATGTAACGCTAGTTTCAACTTGTTAAGATGGTGCCACTCTGTCTCCTTGATAGGATCGTATTATGGTGGAATTCGATGGTGATATGTGGTTGGGGGGAAAGAGGAATATAAGTGCTTAGTGAACAAGGAGGGTTTGATTCTGTTTTTCTAACATGCATGGAAGAGTGAATGCACGTTTCTTTTTCGAAGGGGATTGATTTGTGTCCTTGTACCCATCAGAATTTCCATTCACACTATAATGTGACAACTTGACCAAAAGGACACAATCTCTGTCAGATAAACTGAGTACATGCAAGGAGGAATGCTTGCATATTTGTTTTCTATCTCCACTTCAAATTGTATCCCATACAAGCATTTATACCTGATGGAGTCCTTATGTAGTTTTTGCAACATTTCAAAAAGGAAGGCCTACCTTTTTGTGACTAATGACACGTATTATATATTATTGTTAAAAATACTCAAGTCTCATTTAAATGCAATTTCGAAAAATAGAAATAAAAGTTGAAGTAAAATTTACAAATGAAGTACTTTTAACTTCAAAAAGAATTCTTTTATATCCGTGTACTAATATTTTTCTCGTGTTAAACATTATTTTTTGATTGTTAATCTTTACTGTTCGATATCACATTTAGTTCTTCCTTTTGCTGATGCATAGTATTGTAAGTATACCTCATAAATTGGAGTTTGGGACGGAAAATTCCACTTAGATTCGTGGATTGATGTATGAATGACCTTCCTTTGAAGCATTATCTTTTATAGATTTATTATGGATGATTAATTCAGTTGTGAATCTTGCTTAAATAAAGGAAAGCAGAGCGCCCTTCGTTGTTTCATGTATTTTCCGATTTCCTAGTGCGTCTCTTTAGTATGTAAAATTGAGTTCTGTGGGCACGTTTCTTCAGCTATGTACGGAAGAGTATTTGTTTGGTTCTTTTGGTGGTTCGTATTTTAGTTTCTTTTCTTTTGAAAAAAAGTGTTCTGCTTACCAGACAGCCAGCTGATGACTTTTTTCTTTTGCTAGTATTTTAGTGATGTGAATTTTTGCTAGTATACAACTGTGTGTATAGATTGGCAATGTGCCTTGGTTTTTTATTAACTTTGTGTTCTCAGCATATTCAAAGGAATGGGCTTCTGTTGTTCCTGTAAAGGAATGAACTTCTGTACATCGTCATATTCATTGTTGCTACCTTCTTATACATTTCTGAGAATTTGTTACTGTTTCCTTATTTCACAGCTCTGGAAAGTGTCAGATTATTCATTGGCGTCAAGGTCACAAGGAGGAATGTCGTCCCCCGCTTCCTGATTCTAAACCGAAAGACAAAGCAACTTCTTCTAAGCTGAGTACTGGAAAAGTTGATAATTCTAGTTTCTGTGAGAGCAGTTCATTCACCACAGATGACAACTCAATTCGCGCTCATATGGGGAGGACTGGTTCGTCCAATTTAAGATGCTCTTCCATCCGTATGAATGGGGATATTCCCAAGGTTGAACCCATTGAGGATCCTCTCGCAACATCTCATTCATCTGTTTCTCCATCATCTAGTTCATCAGCCTCAACATCATCTAGCTGTTCTACATTCACCATCCCTTCAGAAACGACAGATGATGCTTCTTTTGAAGGTAGTCCACCCAGAGAAGAGCACACCTCTGCTACTGCTGATGTTGCCTATACAACTGAAAGCAAAACTAGTGAGCAAAAAATTACCAGATCCTCGTCTTCTGAATGCTCAGACGCTTACTCTTCTGACAATGACATTGCTCGAAATAAGTTAAATGAAGTGTCTGATCGTAAAACAAAGAAGGTTGAATATCAGTCAGGCCGTTCTGAAGAGCCAAATTTCAGTAACGTGGATGATTTTATGATCCCCAATTCCACATCTGTTAATGCTGAATGTCAATTTGAAATGGTTGATGAACATATTCCTGGGTGCACCGACTCCAATAAGCCTGAAGTTTCTACTAAGGAGTTTATTCTTCACAGGCACAACCAACCCTTAACAAATTCTTCTAGTCAAACTTCAGGCTATAGGAGTATTCAATTCAAGGGCAGTCTTCCCAACTCCAGAAGTTCCTTGACGAGGGGTTTTGATGTCTCAATTCCTGAAGTTAGGAGGGACAGCATTGATCCACTACCTCGACCTCGAGAAGTGAGATCCTTACCATTTGCGATGTCTCCTGATGAAAACTCTGCTGGTAGCTGTAGACCTTCAGTATTGGTTACTACGCCTTCAAAAGTTACCAATCATGCTGTAGTCCATACTAGATTGTCTGGTATGACAAATTCTTTCTCAAAAGTTGTCCAGCAGTTTAAGCCTTCAAAGCTTTCAAAGAATTACTCACAGGCTCATGGAAGTGAGAGTGCTGGGAAACATATTCCCCAGGTAGAATGCTCAGCCACTGTTTCTTTTACAACACATACATTATAACACTTCTTGCTGCCTTTGTTCATTAGGTCTCACAAAATCTTCTGTTTGTTTTTCTTTACTTCTATTTTTCAGATGCTCTTTTCATATGATACCTTTGTCAAACTTTACAATGATAAGGTGGAAATGCGCCCTTTTGGTCTGATGAATTGCGGAAACAGGTGAGGTCTTGCTTCTTATGATGGCCTATAACATTTTAACATTGTGAAATTTTCACAAATTTTGATATAATTTGAGTCTGATTGTACAGTGATTTAATATCTTGAATTGTTTTTTAAGAGTGTAAAATTATATGATCTTTAGCCCTAGGAAACTATTAGAAACGGGAGGATCGGTGGAGTTTTTCTTTTTCTCATACTATTACAATTTCATATTGAATCATCTCTTCATCCTTGAAACTATGGACAATGCTCTTTTTCATTGTCTGAGTTTATATCATGCTTCTCCTCATTGATTCGATTTTAGATGGGTATACATGTACACATTTATATGAATATTCCAATAGTAGCTAAAATATGCATTAAAATGTTTGCTTGGAAGAGGTCATGAAGAGAAAGTAGGAGAGAAGAAGATGGGTGGAGTGTAAGACATTGAGAGTTGTGCTGGTGCTATAGGAGAGTGTGCCAGCACAGGGTAAAGGGTCAGCCCAGGCTATGCCATCAGATGTCAGAGCTTTGCCTGTGTTAGCGAGGTAGAGGTCTTTCTCACAGAGGAGGATGTAGATAGCAAGAGGATCAACCGCTGCTGGAGCTGACTCGTATGATTAAGACTGCAGATAACATGTGCGTGGGGTGTAGTTCTATGCCCATGCATAGAATGATCTGAATTTCCTCCATGGAGAACCTACATCGCAGGATGGCTGCTGACCGAGGTTTTTAAGGCAACTAGGTGATGGTGGTCAGTCAAGGACGTGCCCCTTATTGATAATATGTATAAAACAGTAAATTACATAGCCATCACAGTAATAATGTATGTTTACTCGGTACTAGCATATACAAGCATATAATGTGAAAGAGAGGTTTCCAGAAATCTCTTGGACACAGGGAACCCAGATCACATCACCTTTACCCTCCTATTTACATAGACAAAGTAAATGGACAATCTTCTATCATACACCTTGTCTTCTGGCCACAAAACTTCACCGAAGCAGCTCGATTACATGTTCAGAGATGGCAGAGTTACAGCTCTCTGTGGCCTTGTGATACACCCAAGAAAAAGCACGTTGATTTAAAGCAATGGAAATCTTTTCAGTGAAACAAGTTGCCTCTAAAAACCTGTCAACTTATTTTGGTTTCTAGACCCACAACCCCCAGCATCCATTATTCCCATTCCATGGATCAATGATAGTTGCCATTTCTTGTAAATGAGGTGTTGTTTTTACATTTTTCCATTGACGGTTTCTCAGGAGCAGCAAGATTTCCAGGGGCTGTATGTTATTGTCAATCGGGTTAGGTGGTGGTGCTATGATTTTTTTTTTCCTTTTTACCGTTCTTTGTACATAAGGTACTTCATTATGCTTTATTTTTATTAGTGACGGCATGGTAATCTCTTTCAGAAAACATGATCTTGATGCTAATTAACCTCACATCTCATCTAGAGTGTTATTCAATGCAGAATAACTTGAGTTATCTTTGACGCCATGAGTTTGTTCTCTCAGATAAAGGAACATTTATATGGTTTCTGATATCCATTTCCAATTTCCTGCAGCTGTTATGCGAATGTGGTACTCCAGTGTCTGGCTTTTACTCGGCCCCTTAATTCTTACCTTCTTCAAGGATTTCATAGCAAGTCATGTATGTCTCCTCTCCCTTAACTTTTGGTTGTTGTTTTCTTATACATTTCCAATGACCTATTTGCTGAAAATGCTTGATTTTCCTTCTAGGCGCTAAAAGTAGCTGGTGCTTTACTTGTGAGCTAGAAAGCCTGATTTCAAAGGCAAAACAAGGAGAGTCTGTACTGTCTCCTGCAGGCATAATGTCTCAATTACCCAATATTGGAGCGCATCTTGGGCCTGGAAGAGAGGAAGATGCTCATGAATTTCTACGGTGTGTATACGATCGTGTTGAAATTCTTGAATTGAGAATTTATCTTGTCAGGTTTTCTTTATAAAGAATGATTGCGCTAAATTATGTAAAAATTACTGTCTTTACTGCACAGTTATCACATAATTTCCATTTAGATTTAGTTGAGCACTGAGTTGTGAAGAAAACTGGAGTTCGTTGTTTGAATTGATCTCACGGTACAAACATAGATATTCTGCAACAATTTACTTGTCTAGTTATTTACTGGCATTTACCACCATATGTTCTATCTCTGTAATGAATTATTGCTTCTTCTCTGTACTGTTTTAGATAGTTGTTTCTTGAACATTTTCAGTTTCATTTCTGCACATACTCTGTCTAAAATAATTAGTTATTTGCTGTCTTCATGTCTTTTCAATTTTAATTTTAAATCTTGTTTACACTCTTTGCTCAGCTTTAAGCAGGTAAATGATTGCATATGGCCGAGCAGAAAAACTAAGATTAATGTAACGATTAAATCTTCATTAATGCATCACATTTGCATTTTACTTTTAGAGATATCTATATAATGCCTAATCTACTGGCAAAGTGTGTAGTGCTGAGATCTTGTGCAATTCTAGAAATGTAAAGTTCTGTGGTACTGGGGTCGTAATAAATGCAGAGCCCTTTAATAAAAACCTTGTTATTTTGTGGCTAGATTCTTGCCAAAAGAAGCAGTGTTTGGGGGGGAAGAAGAACACTATTTTGACATCTTTTGGTACAGTTGAAATGCATATTTAACACTTTGACGTGAACGCTTTTTATAATTTTGATAGGTCTGCTGTTGATACAATGCAATCAGCATCTTATAAGACAAGGGGTACAGATTCACCTCTCCAACTCTCAGCAGAAGCAACTTTCATGCAGCTTATTTTTGGCGGCTACATTCGATCAAAGGTGTTGTGCGCCTTTCTTGTTTCCCACTTTTGGGGGTTTGACACTTTATTTTGTGAAGGGGGTTAGTGACTGGAATCTGTAATGCAGATAAAATGTATGAACTGCCAGAGTAATTCTGTCCGGAATGAGCGGATGCTGGATCTCACTGTTGGAATACCTGGTGATGTTCGAACACTTCAGGAGGCGCTTTTTCGGTTTACAGCTACTGAGATTTTAGATGGAGATAATCAATATGAATGCAGCAGGTCTGGCTTCTTCTTCTCCATCATTTTCTTCATGATTACTAAACCGCTGAGGTCTTTGACATTGATGGATTTCAGTTCCTCCACTACGGAACCATACAATTTCGAAAAATCTTTGAAATGGCTTGAGTTTCACGCCGACTCTATTGACTCTCAGACCAAGAAAAATCCCATTTCCAGTGCATCCCCGTATCCAATTCATTTTTTGACTCCAATCTCTGTTTACATAGTAAATATGGAAAGTTGAGGTAATTGACGAAAGCGATATCCGTCGAGATCACCTGCTTGAGATTTATCTACTGTTGAATTTGCCCTTTGGAGGTTGTTTCACTCTTAGACCTGGTTTATCATCACTATTAGGTGTCTCAGATGATATCTCTTGGGCTTTCTTCTCACAAATTTTCGTGCAGTTGCATATTTTCTATTTTCCTCTCTAATGGAATTCCCAATTGTTGGATTTATGAAATTTTTCCCTCGATATATTTCGGTATGATTTTGGTGTCAGTAACAGAATTTCCATCAATATTCTTCTCGGTCAGTATGTTAGGTTACATACATACTTTGGATTCATATGTTCAGGTGCAAATCGTATCAGAAAGCAAAGAAGAGATTGAAAGTGCTGGAGGCTCCCAACATCCTTACAATAGCGTTGAAAAGATTTCAGGTATTCCAGAAGCTTACTTTCTCTTTTCAGCATTTATGGATTGATCTCGACGCATTCTCCTCTCACTGCGGTGCTTCAGTCAGGCATTTATACTTACCCAGATGCCTCCGTCGTGTCTACTCTCTCAGTCTGGAAAATTTGGAAAGCTCAACAAGGCGGTCGTGTTCCCCGAGCACCTGAATTTGGCCGACTACATGACCAGTTCCAGCAGGAACAGGGACAAATCCCCTGTCTACCAGCTGTATGCTGTGGTGGCGCATTTGGATATCATGAACGCTGCCTTTTCTGGGCACTATGTCTGCTACGTGAGGAATGCGAGCGGAAAGTGGTACAAGATCGATGATAGCACGGTACGCTCCAACCCTTTTGCTGCCAATTGAGATTTTTTCTAGTTCTTCAGCATTCCAAAGTGTGATCTAAAGAAATTTCTGAAATAAGTTTGTCAAAACCCAATTGCGAATACCTCAGGGAATGTCTTTGGATGATCCATCCAATTTCATCTCAAAGTTTTTCTTAGCTGGATTATGTTTGATGATCCAATTTTGCTGCCGATTGAGATTTACCCAGTTCTGCAGCGTTCCAAAGTATGATCTAAAGAGATTTTTTGAAATTTTTTTTTCAAAACCCAATTGCGAATACCTCAGGAATATCCTCAGATGATCGATCCAGTTTCATCACAGTTTCTCTAAACTGGGGTGTTCGATGATCCTCCTCCCACTCCAGAGCCCGGCATTGACCTCGCTTCTTGATTTCTTCTTCGGCATGAGATCTGGTTCTTGTCCTTTTTGGCGATTTTCTCTTCTCTCTCTTGAATGGGTTGGGTTGGCCTCAGGTGAAGCCAGTGGAGCTCGAGAAGGTCCTCTCGAAGACCGCCTACATGCTCTTCTACGCGAGGTGATCAATCGCTTCTCTGTGCTTTTGATTCTCGGGGTTTGTGATTATTCTGCGGAGGGAAAAAAAGGGGCGACTTTTTCTCATCGGTGCTGTGTGGACAGGCGATCGCCGAAGAATACGGCGCTGTCGCCGCACGACTGCGGCAACGGGAGGCCGAAGAGCAAATCCGGGGAGGATCTCCCCGCCGTGCCGCCGTGCCCACGGCGGCCGAAGAATCTGGGGAGGTTCGACGACGACTCCGACGGCGGCGCCTCCTCCCTGTTCAGCCGCTCCTCCTCCGACGGCGGAGGCGCCGCCTCCTGCAGCACGGAGAGCGCGAGGTACTCCTCCAGCACCGAGGGGCCGGAATGGATCTTCGGGGACAACAGCGGCGGCAGCCTCTGGAGCAGCCCCGCGGGGTTCTCCGACGACTCTGACGGCGGCGTAGGCTGGTGGCGCCGCCTCTCCCCCACCGAGCCCCACTTCCCGGACTCGCCGGAGAGCGGCTACTCTGCCTCGGAGTTGAGCAGCTCCTCCGGTCACGACGACGGCTACCCGGCGAGAGGCCTAAGTTATGATGGGAACCACACGGCGGCGGAGACCGGCGACGCCGCCGCGTTTTTGGATTCTGACGACCGCAGTAGACATTTTAGGAAGCTAACGTTACATCGCAGCAGCAGCAGCAGCAGCGGCACCAGCAGCAGCAGCAGCAGCAGCAGCAGCAGCAGCCTTAGGGGCGGCGGCGGCGGCGGTGGTGGCGGCGGCAGTGGCGGCGGCAGTGGCGGCAACCCATCCAGGTATAAATCTGTTCCTGTGTCCAGGAGCGTCCGGGAGAGGGCGACTCAGACGAGGTTTTGATGTGTAGGGAAGAGAGAGAAATAGAGGGGAGAGAGAGAGAGAGAGAGAGAGAGAGGGAAAGATGTGATAGAATGAATAAATAAATGCTCTATCTACCCGGCTGTATGAAATGTGAACAAACGGGTGTATTTTTACAGTGGAAGAATCATCCATGCTCTGTTCCGTCCTCTGCGGCCATTACCGATCTAGCGACCCTGCCGGCCATGGCGGGTAGAACGGTGGCGTCTTTACTGCGGACCCACGACGGTAGATATTAGAGAGAGAGAGGGATCGGTAGGGTTTTCTTTTTTGGCCCTGGTCATCCCTTTTGCCCATCTTCTCCTCCCGGTGTCATCGATCGGTGGGAACGGGAGCAGGGTGGGGGGTGATGGCATCCTGTTTTATAGGGGGTGTCTGGGCCCGTTTCTTGCCCTTGCGGTCTTCTCAGCGGCGCCCTGGTGGGTCGGGCACTGCGGCTCCCACTTGTCTCCTCTGCCGAAGGCGTACTCCTCTGGTCGGGGCCTTCTATTTGCTGAGCTTGGGTGCTCTCACTGCACTCTCCTCCTCTAGGGCGGGGTGGGCCTACTCACGCAGTCTCTTTCCTACATCCAGGTACCCCTCTCTCTCTCTCGCTCGCTCTCGCTGTGTCGGATGTCGCGTGCTCTTTGTACATACTGAGTTGGTGTGGGTCTTGGGCCTTACCAGAATGGCCGGTTTCTTCCAGTAATCTGATGTGATTGGCGAGGATTACACACCAAAATCATCTTCTAGGGTTCCGTATTGCTAGGTTTGATTTCTCTTTTCAGAGTTTCTGGCGATGTATTTGTGGAATATGGTAGGGTTGACTTTCTAGCAACTGATCTTTCTTTCAGCAAGTTATCGCCTGCTTTAGTTCTTCATAGCCGCTGAGAGGAAGCAGGTGCAATTCAGAGAGGTCCTGCCATTGGTGAACTGGTTTCTAGAGCACATTTGCATGGTTTAAGGTGCCGGAATGAGGAGCTGAAGAAATCATAAGTTTTCTTTTTATGGAAAAAAACCCAAATCGAGGAAGTAAGGGAAGCCATCTAGTATAAGGTAGCCGAATAAGTTTTCTAGTCTTCACAGATTCCATTCAATAAAAGCCCTCTCTCTGTACAGAAACGCTGAGCAGGTCAGGTGACGGAGATGCACTGAATGGGGGAGAACAGACGCTCTTGAAATGGTAGCAGCGTCAGTTCTTGGGCCTTTATACATGTCACTGATATGGAGGTTAATCACATGTACTCTCATATCAGAATTGTAATGGCAGAAGCCTACAAACATTTGGATGAAGAAAAGGTTTAATTCATATAGGAAGAGCAATATCCACTTATGGGGGAAGAATTACCATTTATGGTTCAGAAGAAATCGGATCCTCATGCAAGTAGAACTCTTGTGACTAGTTGACGCTTGGAGAATAAGGTGATTACAGCAGATTCTGAGGATTGGTGAAATTGGACGTGAGAACCTGGGGCAAACTTATGGTGATGACAAAGCTCTTACTGTGTTGACAGGGGAATGTCCAGGGACCTTGTCATGCCACAAATTTCTTATCAATCTCCACCTGTTGTGTTTATCATAGTTGATAACTGTCTTGGGCCGAACTTCTCAGGAGGTCACCCATCCCGGTAAAAAGAAAGCAAATTATAATGAAAATGCGGCGAGTGTGGATCGAACACGCGACCTTCAGATCTTCAGTCTGACGCTCTCCCAACTGAGCTATCCCCGCTATGATTGTTTATCATAGTTCATTTCATATAAATAGGGTTTTTCTTCTGAGTGGAAATTACAGAGGTGGGCCTTGTGATGAAGTACACCTTTTTGATAATACTTGTTTTCTCATTAATTGACAAGACAGTGTTCAGCAGAAGCTTTATTTTAATGTGCTTTTAATGTCCAAATTTTGTGTTCAATTTTACTGACCTAAAATTACAAAGGTAGACATTGCATATAAAGTAGACCCTCGTGAAAACCTGTCTTCTCGATTGTGAACCAGATATGATCGTCAGTAGAAGCTTTACTTTAATATATTTGTTCATGTGGTATCACCCAAATTCGATTCCGAAGCGCCATCTGTGGACGGTGGTTTTTAATTTTTTTTAATATAACTATTGAAGACTTCTCTGCCTTCAATTAACTGCCTCCTGACAATGTCTTTTGGGAATCCCTATAATTTTTTATGAAAAAATGGAGTTATTTTTTAAATTTGATTCAACATAGTTTTCCCTCCATCCTCTTCATCATCCAATGATCCTTTCAACTATAGTATCATATATTCATGCAAAAACGGGGCAGTCATTTTGAAAACTTTTCCAATTCTGGTGGAATCAAGTTTGACTGAACTGAAAATCAGATTCTTTCTCACCAGGATCTCAATACTTTCACCATATATCGTAGTTGCTGTGTTTTCTTGTGTATCGTCTGTGAATCTAAGTAAATAAAGTTCAATCAGCCATTTTTTTTTTCTTTGAGTCTGTACAAAAATTAAAGTTAGAATGCTTTTAACATTTACTTTATCATTAAAAAGTGTCTAAATTCTATTGTCAATCACCATTGATTCTAGAGGAAAGGGTACGTTTTATTAGTTCCTGAAGTTAGAGTAGAATTTCTTTTTTAAGGTAAAAGCACCTTTCCTTACCATAGAAAATTTTCTAGATGGTGACAGAAGAAGGAAATCATTTTATGCTGTTAGTATTTTCTAATTAATATATAGAATGCTTTAGATTTCCTGCTACAACCTATGGTTGTAGGGCTCGTAGTTGCCTCATTGAAACCAGCAAAAACTTTACTTGAAATTGTCCTTGCATGAGTTTTGTTTTCCATGTGTGATGAGAGAAATAATATTCTGTTGTTCAGTCTAAAGATTTCAATGTGCTGCCAACTTTGCTCTCATTGATCTGAAAATGTTCTTTTAGCTATACATACACATGTATTAATTTTACATTTTCTGTATTTTTTCTCTTAACAATAATTTTGTATGCACTGCTGTGATCCATGTTGAGCTTTACGCCGCCATGCAACTAGCTTGGTAGGTTCATTGGTAGTCAGTTCATGTATACGATGTAGACCTGGTAATGTGGTTCAGCTGTCAGTATCACTGCCACCTGGTAAACATTCCTATCCATTTCACATGGCAATTGATACCTCCTAAAGGAGGAAATTACCTCCTCAAGGAGGGCGCCCAGTGCAAAAGGGGAGGAGCAAGGTTGCAATTTGAGACTCTTTAGTCGAGTATTAGAGCCTGGGCCGCTGGGGAAGGGAGACACTTTTTGAGCAGAGTAGAAGGATAGTCACGTGGAGACCTAGGCCTCTCCCCTTTTAATCTCCCTTATTATCTGTTCCCTAATCCTCAATCTACATCTCCTCTGGCCTCCTGCGTCTGTTCTGTGCTGGGTCGTATCAGTAGAAGCGTGTGGAGGCACTTTCTTGTTCAATAATGAGGAAAATAAAGCCGATTTCTTCTTTATGTATGACTCACTGTGCACATTTTAGCTTTTCACTGTATAGTTGTTATCTTCAAGCGTTTTGGCTTTACAAAGTCCGATTGTGGGTACCTATCGAGGTAGCCATTGCCTGTAAGTAGATTGACATATACGTTTTATACTGTGTGCAGCTTTGTTTCTACCCTTGTTTTCTTTTCCTGGTGATTCACTGTCAATCCAGATGTTTTTGCTATGGCTTCAAGGCTTTTTTAAGCAATGGCCCATGGATTAGAAAACTGAAACGAATTTTTTTTTCTAATTTTACTCACCTTACCATTCAGGGGGCCAGACAGAGGCTTCAAATTCTAAACAAACACTTGCTGGAAGTATCCGTTCTATCACAATGGATTCTGGATCCACAACGGTACCCAGCATTGTGGTTTATGTTACTGTTCCAAACAAAGAAGCTGGTATGGTTCTTTGGATCTCTGGTTCCTCGTTGGTTCCAAAAGTGATGAGTGTTTTGACTTTTACATTGTATGATGATTTTGCCTTTTCTTAAAAGAACTGATGAAGATTATGACATTATTCCAGTATGGTTCGCTTTTCTTCTTCCTCTAAGCTTTTTTTTCAAATATCTTAAGCGTTAGTTGTTCTACTTTTGTTTTCTGGTGTCAAATCTTCAATGAAACATGGTTGACACGATGGGAAGAATTTTTCAGATAATTTATGAGATAGGGTTATAGTTCGAGTACCTCCCCTGCGACTAGAGAGTTTCTAAAACTGTAAGCATCTGTGAATCTGACAGTATTATGTAAGATGTACAAGATTATACATAACGAAAAGAATATGACAAATTGATTGATGTCAATCAACATCGAATATATTGGCTGTTTTGGGAGGATACCCTTCAACCAGTCGGTGTTTATGACTGCGTGTTATTGGGATCTGTCAAAAGGTATTATCTGGCCCTGGATGTAAAACTTCATCCCTAATTTCAATTTTGAAGTTAAAAAAGGGATGAACTGTTGTAATCGGTAACCTATGTTTTGTGATCTTGTACTCGTACCTGGGTTATGTTTGTGATAACTTGGCCTATTTTTGAGGGAATTTCATCTCCTGGAGAATCACGAGCCAAAAAGTGTATTGAAACATAATTCCCAATTGAGATGGCACCCCTTGTTGAAAACCATGAGATGGCTATTTGTGACAGTAAAATCTTAGCCACTGTAGGGCCTACGAAAGGATGCTTCCAAGTTCATGCTGTAAAATCTCTTGATGATTTGTTAGTGAACTCAATTTTCTATCTTTTTTTGCCTTTGTTCTCTGATCAGCTTCATCTAATACTGTCTGTTTTGAATGAAGGGAAGAAACTAGCAGAAAGCATTATCCAGGAAAGGCTTGCTGCATGTGTTAATATAGTACCAGGCAAGTACTCTTGCCTTTTTTTTTTGCTGTACACAGAATAACGTTTAAAACGCTATTTGCCATTTGGTAGCAGAGAGTAGGCTTGAGTATAGTTCAAGTAGCGTGTCAGTAGACTACCTGAATAAATATAATTCTGCTAAAGATTTGTCTTCCTCCATTATCATCGTCTTTGATCGATCCTTTTCCGGAGTTTCTGTGGCCTTTTTAATGCTAAAGGTATGCCTGGATACATAACAGCAGCTAAACATCCATTATCAAGTTTCTTCTGCTTCACAGTAAGTATTATAAAACGAATGTTTTCTTTTTATTCTAGGATTTCACGCACTGAATACATGTTAGAGTTTTAATCACAATTATTTTACCATAAATAAATGCAAGCATAAATATTGTGGCAAGAATGTGTAGAATATCCCATAATTTTCTAACATAACCATATTATCTTGATACATTCATGTGGGTTTTTCTCTTCATAAGTAACACAAGTTTTTTGATGACAAACTGAAATCTTTTCATCATTTATTTAGTAGGTTAACCAGCGTATGCTACAGGAAATGAGACAATTAAAGTTTGCATCTTCGTTCAATGTGAATTCTTAAGATCTGCAATTTTGAGGCTAAAAGCTTTTCTTCAATGTGAACGCACTGTCTGATTAATTAATGAGTCAAGTTTGTTCTTGCTCCATCCTTTCAACCTTAATGAGTTATTATTTTTTTTCTAAACTATTTCCACATATCTGGGCGATGTCTGATTAAATTTTTTTTATCAAAACGGACATTCATTTTATTTATAGATAGTTGAACATCTTGGTTGTAAGAGTATCAAACTCTGCAATCCTGACCCCCACAGATTTAATGGCAGGTATTGAATCAGTCTACTGGTGGGATGGCAAGGTAAATATATCCAAACATGAATATTTAAGTTATGAAAAATCATGTAGTATGTTGGATGTATCATTAACTGATCAAGACCCAATCTGGCTGGGTCTCTCCCAAAACATTCAAAGGTGTGTGGATCATCAGATTTTCCCAATGCAAATGGGGCAATTTGACCTGTATTGGTCAATCCTGTATATGGACATGATTAATCAAGTGGGCACTTTCAGATGTACATCTCAACTTGTACGGCTTAATCTATTGCTTCAGGTTCAAACGGACTCTGAAGAGCTACTCATCATCAAGACCCGGGAATCTCTGCTGGAAGCACTGACAGAACATGTCAAGTCCAACCATGAATACGAGTAAGATTCTGTGCCCAGACCTGTTGCTCATCTCCTTTTTGCCTGGAGCAGGGGCGGCTGAACCAATGAAAGATATGCTCTTCTGTGTGGCATTGCAGGGTTCCGGAAGTCATCTCGCTGCCCATAACTGGAGGAAGTGCCAAGTATCTGGAATGGATCAAGAGCAGCACCCGGGACTAATCGATGTGCCCTGATTGGTGACTAGTTTTATATGTGAAGGGATGAATAATTTCATAGGTACTGTAAGCTGTTCATTCATGGTTCGTTCACCTGTCGATGAGAACTTGCAGAGTTTGTGTTCAGAACGGTTTGACTTTCCTCAATGGGCAAAGTAGGCTGGAATGTATAGACAAAGAAACAAGGTTTCTGTCCCCAGATCCCCTCCTTTTCTCCTTCTCTACTCTCTCTGTTGGCCTGGAGTTGCCAGTCTGGAACTTCATAATCAAGGTATGGAGTTTATGTATATTCTAGGCGACGATTTTTTATAAGAATATTTCCATAATTATCTGTAAAATATGGGATTGTGATATCATATTTAATCACAGCTTTCTTGAACCATTAGTTGTTTCAAGGGTGAGAAAATCATATAATGTGCAAAATATGAAGAGGGCATTGTGATCTCTATAATTAATTGACTAAGGGAAGATACCAAATCATTGTTCTTGAGATATTTGAATAGCTAATTAATATAGAAGGCAATACAATGTGCACAACCCAACAATCTTCATGAAACAAGGTTATTTGACAGACCTCACTTGGAGTAATAAGATTGTGGACATAAAACCTCACTATCATCATCATGAGGGCATTGTTAGGACATTGTTGGCATGATATTGGGCATGGAACCCTCAACAACGGCAGAAGAAAGTTGATGAGACAAGCATGTTGACTAGTGATCCTCAACAAGGAGTTATTCCCTATAAATAGGAAGTACTCATGGCTTTGTTCAGTAGGTTGGCCTCCCCTATAGAAGTATAATTGTTCATTTAAGGAATATATGATCCCTTGGACAAGCAAAGTGCTTACAAACTACAATGTTTGGTAACATTGAGGATCAAAGCTGATGTGCACGGAGTGAGCAAGTAAAGCATAGACTAGCAATTGGGCTGACTATAGGTCTATGTGCTTAGAAATCTTGGAATGATAGGGCTATTTGTAATCTTAAAAAGAAATCTTACATGACACTGATATAAGGCAAGTTCAAACAACAAATTAATTTGTCATCTTATGTGTAAATAGTATTTATTTAATTTAAAAAATATGGAAAATGTAAATTAAATAGTGACACATCCCTATGAGGAGAATCTTCTTAGTGATTTCAATTTAAATAGTATAGATAAACAAAATACCATTTGTGAGTGTGTAAAAAATTGATTTTTATCATGGTAGAAAAACTTGATGGCACCCTAACAAATTACTTTATTGAAAAAATATTTTACAAACCATCGATTGGACCCAAAAATAAAATACTTCTTGTCCATTAGAATTTTTATTTTTTTCCATGTAATTAGATCACTTGTCCATCAACTGAAACATTCCTCATTCATTGCACCTTCATCATATTGTGGAAAATTTCCTAATTTCAAGTATTTTATGTATAAACTAAAAATCTGGTACACGTCATAGAGTGTGTTAATTGAAACTTATATAATAAGAAAATTCATTTTTTTAGTTTTTCATTCAATATAACTGAAATAAAAATGGAAAATAGACATGTAAAAGTTTTAATTGAGATTTTGGGATGTCTATGGTAGGTGACATCAAGGAGCCTCAAATGATTCTTATGGACTATCATTTTTTAGTATGTTAGGGAACAATGATCTATTGTACAATTGTAACGCTTTCTTACTGAACATATATGGGATTAATTAGGTAGGTTGTTATAAAATGTTTCAATGCCAACTAAGAACGATGTATAGGATCAGTGTACATATCTCAAAACTAGATATATAAATACATTTATTTGCCACCTCTATGATCCGAAATGAATGAAGTTGATAAATGTTTTAGTTTAGTCGTTGATAATTGAAACACAAATTATAATATGCCATAAAATATGCATTGGACTATCTGCAGTACACGACATTAAAGGGAAGATAATAGCACAACAAACATCATATAGCTAGGAGCTATTGAAATGATAATTAGATGATTGTAGATGGGCATATAAAGTGAACCTCTATGTGACATTGCCCTTTTGTCTAGTGAAAGTATGCTAAGTATGGTGAAGAATATGAGATGACACAAAGCATATTTATTTCTGAAGACATTTGAACTATATATGTTTTCTAAATAACCTTAGAGTGTAAAACTAATCATTTGACTTTTCCTAGTTATATTTATAGATGAAAGAATGTGAAGCAAAAGGTTGTAGACACAGAAGGGTATGCTTAGGAGGACACTATTTTTTCTTAAGGGTAACCACAAATGCGTGGGACCCATTCACTCTCCTCTCTCCTCTCTCCTTTGACAACAGCGCCACCAGCTCCTTTGGCAGCCGCCCTTCCTTGTGTGACATCCATGGGCTGAGACAGCTTAAGACTGAAGCTCAAACAAGTCTGACCATAATGATCCCATTTTCAGATCTCTTTTAAGACGCTGGGGCAAGCCAAGATGGCCCAATCAACACTGCAGACAGATTTTTTTTTTTTAACGACAATCACATGCATTCATTATGATGGCAACTAACAGAGATTTGCTATATCTGTGCTGCCCACAATTTTGACTTTTGCAGTTTGACTTTCTATGAAAAGAAAAATAAGTATAGGCATGTGAAACATGGCTAAAAGCAAGAACAACAGCAGTCTCAATCCCAGGTCTGTGAACCATTTTTCACTGTACAGAAGCAAAAGCCTACAAATCAGATGATGGGCCTTTTCAAAAGAATGATTCTAAAGTCTGCAATATTTCATGTATAGGGAATAAATGCATACATACATATATATACATAGACGGCCAAACATCTCTATTGGAATCTATATAAACGTAAGATCAATCAAACAGCTTGGTCTTGGGTCCACAAGCTTTGCTTTCTGCCAGGTGAGAGTCCCCCCACAAGGGTAAACAACAATTCCCAAGATAGCACTGCAACTTTCTTCAGGTCAGAACAAGAGCCCAAACAAAAGCCATTAGAAAAGCTTTGATATGGCTTGGCAGGAGGTCCAAAAGGCAACAGTGGCTGCCCTTAGCAAGGCCGGATTTTGGTATATTCTGCACGATAAGATCTCAATTTAGGAGATGTGTAAAGAAATATGAAGGTTTATGAAATTCCTGTTGTCAAGAATATATATATATATATTCTTTTGAAGATTAATAGACACATCATTAGAAATATGAAGGTTTATGAAACTCCTGTTGTCAAGAATCTATAAATATTTTATTTGAAGATTAATAGACAGAAACAAACAAAAAGCATACATCCTCACTTCAGAGAAGTGGACAATAGCTAGTCTGCACAGTTCTAAATGGGCACAACTCACAGAAGGATGATCTTTCTTCAAGCAACGACAACTAAAGATGATTTCAGAAACCAATCTTTCAATTCTTTTGAATCCATTTATTCAAGCATGTAACTCAGCAAGGGCCTCTGTAGGCCGATCACATCTTTGGCATAGTTCTCGAGCAGGTAGAATAAAGTATTAGGTTTAGGAAGCATAATTCGATTCAGAATGCGGTTGGTATTATATAAACCTGATGTGCGGGGATGCGGGGGAAGGGAGAGAGGAAAGGGAAAATAAATCTATGTCCAACTCTAACTGAGGAGCTGAGCATTGGAGAACATATGGAATCTTGGATTGTCGGCCCGTAAACACCATATCCAATGTCGTCAGCCCATCTTGTTAGATGTTTAGATCAACTCTGTAATGTGGTACCGCTTGTGTATTTAAACATCTGGTTTAATACAAAATTCCACTAAAAAAGCATTTTCTTTGATACTGCAAAGAAAAAAATGAGGAAGAAAAAAAAAGGGGCAAGCCAACAATGTCATCTGGCTAATATCAGAATTATGATTTTTTTCTGCCTCTTAAGTCTAAAATGAATAACTTCTTCATAAGAAGTGAGAAGGCCAGTAATAAAATCCCAAGTGTATTAGGGAAGCAACTTCGCCTTTTAGGACTATTCATTAAAAGAAAATACAAATGGTGTCGGAAAAAATGAACTAAAATCATGTCTTGCATCAAGTGAAGCAAAAGTTGAACAGATTTGCCAAGTATCTGCATGCTGATTGTCACGAATAGGGGTTAGGAACTATTGTCTCTATGGAAAATTATAAAATGAGAGGAAACAACTGTGGTAGCACCCAAAAAAGGCTACCTCCTAGAACATCAATCTATAATTAATCTACAATTGGCGACCATATGAAGGTGAAAAACGAGGTCAACTGTATCTGGCAGAATAATATAATTATAGTAAAGAAGATAAAGAAGAATAAGTCTCGGAACAGTAACCACGCACAAATGAAAATGAAACGTATCTAGAATCTAATTCCGAAGGTATGCAAAAAGCTTACCCAATGGCAGTTGCACCCCAGGATGCAACATTGTAAATAACTCTTCCACCATCCCATGCCTTCCGAAGCTTCCCTTTTCTCTTTTTCACAGAAAACGTCTTGCTGAGGGCTGAATATACAAAAATCCACACACATAAAAAAGAGATCATGCAGAGATCAATGCTATATATGCACATGTATGTTACGACATACATCCATATATCACATGGTATCCTCCGAGATCCAAGTGATTGGATATGCACATTCACGTGCTACAAAAATGCTAAAAAATGCAGGCCAATCACACCAATAACTTGTGCCCCGCACTCCAGGGATCCAAGTGTAGGGAAAGGTTCACAAAAGGCATGTTACCATATGAAAAATACCTTCTTGAATCTGGGTTGGTGTTAACTCCTGCAAAACAGCAAGGAAGAAATGAAATCAAGAGTCGTAAGCAGGCAGAAAATTGGCAGCATGATAACAGTACACGAAATAGCGCTATTCAAAAGACAAGCATAAAAAATGGACGTGACCATGCACACAAATACATTAACACAGATAAAAAGAGAGAATACATACATAGCAAATTTTCAGACAGAAGATGGGGACTTATTTCCTTGTTTGACGTTTAATAAGATTGGGCACATCATGTACGCATTAATTCCATTCTGCAGTAAAATATCTACAACAATTCATGGAGATCCTATGGAAAGTTTGAACAGGCAATACAGAATATACTGCAAAAAAGTTTATTTTCATTAGACTGAGAAAATTTACTGATCAAATACTATAATTTTATAAACATGATGGAATAGATTAAAAACATAAAATCAATTGACCTGTCTTAATACTCCAAACTGATGTATAACAACACTTGTATCAGGTACCTGGTGGCAGAGACCCTAGAAGATACGTCTAAAATGAGAGCAACTTTCGACTAAAATAAGTATTTTATGGTAACGATAGCTATGACATTGAGCAACTAAACAATCTGAGAACTATCATTAATATTAAAAGACTAATCATCCTCTCCTTCACCCGATTCGTATAGTATCAAATAGCCAACCCAATCTCATATTATACTTTATAAATTGATAGAAAAATTTCATCAAAGTTCCTTTATCTAAACAGAGTCACACAAAAGCATGAATCCGGATTAGCAGCTTCTGGGAATGCTTATCATTAAAAAGGGATAATATTAAAAATCTGAAATAAACCACTTCAATAACAACTCCAAGAAGTTTCCATTTGGATACTTTCCTGAAAGATTTCTAACCTATAAAGTACCGAATGGTAACATCACATTTTTATTTCTCAAACAACTAGTGATGACTAAGGATTGTCAATAAGCATGAGCTGAAAGCAGATAACTTAAATAACATTATAATAAAAATGGTAGTTTCCAACTATATAGCATAAGAGAATCTCAAAGTCATTGACTATACTTTGCATCGCAAAACTTGAAAGTATATCACAGAATTCGAACTATATACCTTAGTTTCCTTTAGCGATAATAGATAGGTAGCCATAAAGCAAGCAATTCCATCAACTATGTCTTCTTGCTTAACAAGAACGAAATCATCACCGTCATCTTGGTCTGATCCGTTTTTGACATCGACATTTTTATCATCCCATAAATCTTTTGCAGTAACCATATCCCAACTGGTGCTTTCATCTATCAACAAGTTGAAATGCTTCAACCGTCATTGAATTATAGAAGAAAAATACAAGTATAAGAAGAATACCAAACTTTTCCTTCATGGAGAGATATTCACAGATGAATTCGTTTAATGTATGGATACAAAACCACATCCTAGTAGAGGTGGAAGTACTTGGATTAATAAGTACGTAAGACTGATCAAAGGCATCATTCGTACCAGAAATATTCTGTGATAGAGACACATGGATGCTTCCAAGTTTCTCAAGAAAATTTGGTGATTCAACTCTAGATTTGAGAAGCTGATGTAGCTGCAGGAAGAAAAATTGCACATTCAGAGAGGTTTCGGACAAAGACACATACCAAAGAAACTTCAAAATAAACCTAAATCAAATACAATACAATTTTAATTTTAACAGCCATTTTATGACGTAAAGAAGTTACACCTTAATGTTTAAAAGGTCCCATGCAAGGGCCTCAACGTAAAGAAGTTTTGTGCCAATTGGCTGTGGAAAAAAGATTCTTTACTGAAACACTACGAAATAAGATGAATCTGCAAATTCTATATTAAACGTGCTGATTCAGATTGAAATCAGCACTGCCCGGTCCGATTCATGGGTGAGATAGAGCACATCTCCAGTATAAGATCAAGCTTAGTTATAACTATCTGTAACTATATCACAAGCTCAGTTAGGAGATTAAGTGGTTGATTTTATGGAATCAAATAATGATGAATGAAGTGTCTGCTATTGGTTGATTCAATGCTCACTGTGCGAGTACCAGATGATCCACTCCAGTTTACCTGGCCGTATCCCTGATTACTGTGGGCCTGGCACAAAATTTAATTCTAGCAACCATGGCTGAATTCTATCTAATGTAGGTGAGATTTCCCTGAGTATCCTCAAGGACCTTAAAATACTACACAATCAATTTCTAGTCTGTGGAAAAGTAATTAACACTGAATAAGCGTTAATTCAATATAATCGCAACCAACCTTATCACAACTCGCTTTGAAATTGATCTTTTCGATCAAACAGTTTTAGGCTGCAATAGAATGATATAGAATAAACTTTTTCACTGTAATTTATCCTTCGTTACGTTGATGGTAAAGAATGTTGAATTCTCTTACGCGAGGAATGTATTACATTCTGCTAGTGTCCACCATACATATCAATGGACATGAGTCTCAAACAGCTCCTTCCAAGAATGGAAAATATCTGAAAGTTGAAGATATATCTTGATATTATTTGAGGACAATACCGAAAAACCTCGCATAATAAGGAAGTGCAATGGTTAGTGTTTCTTCACATTCTTCACTTTAGCTTAGGAATGGAACTATACTCAAGTTAGAGTCATCAAGCTTCCTCCTAAGTGATGAACTTGTCAATTGGCTCAGCAAAATTTACACTCCACCAGCAATCAGGATGCCTTTTGGCTATTTTGGTTTGCACTTGCTCTTATCTTTGAGTACCTATTCCTACAACCTTTTTCTTTTCTTCTTCTTCTTCTTTTATTGAGGCTTTACTTTTATCACTTACTTTCCTCTGATTCGGCCATTTTTTTGGCATAATGTACGCTTGTTTGCTTCCTCAAATCTCAAAAATTTACTTATCAGACCTTATTATTCTTGTGGCCTGGAATTTACTTTGGAAAACATGACAGGTCAAGGAAGCCCTTTTGCCTGTCTTCAGGGACCTCTGATGCCAATCAAACAAGGAAGACACCTTTCAATTTAAGATAGAATTGGCTTTTCTGGAAGTAAATCCACACTATATCCGATTCATGATAACTGATGTCATGCCCAAGCGGTTTACTGGCAGAACCTCAGTTATCACGAAACTTTTATTTCATGTCAATTACCTGTGGCCTATGATCGAATGAAATCACCTGAATGAACAAGCCCAGTGAGAAAAAGCAATCTACATGTACCTACGTGAATTCGAAAAAAAGTCATGCAAAAGTCTCCATCGAAAAATTCTTAAAAGATGAAATCCCAGTATAAGACAAAGCATTGCCCAGGTAAACCCAACTGACAAACAAACCAGGGGAAAAAACAAAAATATAGCAGGGCTACGAACACATGCAGACGCCTCGTTTTATACAGCTCCGCACATCATAAGATGCACCAGAAGTTAGGAATCAAGCGCAGAAATTAGCTTTCTACAACCACTGCACTCAAACGCCATCCCACACCCCGTCGGAAATACGAAACAACGATAATATTATTTACCTCATCCGACTCTGAATCACCAGTAGAAGATGAGGAACCTTGAGACGGATCATCCTCATCGTCCTTGTCCGCAAGGCCATCGGCAGCTTCCCTGCCTTCATCCAATTCCGAGTCCTTGAGCAATTCCAGAGCCGCCCGGCACTGTTCCAACACCTCTACCAGCGTCCGCTTCTTCACTCTCCTCGGCGCCTGCAGCTCCCGCGGCCTCTCGCCGCTCCCTTCAATCTCCACGCAGGGCTTCAGAATCGAGGAAGCCGAGGTTGAGGCGTGCCTCACTCCCACATCCATGCCCGACATCTGGACCCAAAGTAAACGAGGGGAACAAATGGTGACGGCGGATCGATCTCCTCAAACCACTTTCGAGCAATTTCTCCTCCCCGGCCAGGCTGCTGCGGCGCCACCGGGCGTGCGGTGGTGGCGCTGATACCCCAACTTCCCCTCCCCCCCTGGCCGTCTCCCGGAGGATTTCCGCTTCCGATAATTTTTCTTTTGCTTGCGGGTTTTGACCTCCCGAGGAGAAAGCGAAAGCCAGCACGTGTCTCCTTGAACGGAGAAAAGCCTCTCAACGGTCCCGCTTTAAAACGTGTCCTGTGCACGCACATATACACATATATATTATATTTATATATATATATATATATACACACACATGAAGGTAAGAGAAGAATTTTACCACGTCAGAAGTAATTTTGAAATATAAAAAAATAAAATTGAGAAAAATGTTTGTGTATGAAATTAATAACATATTCAAGCTGCAGGACTTTAGGGTTGATGACTCATTTCATGGAAAATATATTGGACACCACCATGTTTCTTGAACATAAAGATATTTTGATTATTCTCCAAGACTTTGTAGCATATATATATATATATATAAAGGTGAGAGTAGATTTTTACCAAGTTTGAAGTAATTTTGAAATGTTAAAAACTTAAAATTTGGTGAGACAAATATTTATGTATGAAAATAATAAGATATTGCACATTACTATTTTGCTAGAACTTTAAAGAGATTATGTTTATTGTGCAAGACTTTGTACCATATTACTTATTAGTTGGCATTTGTGAGAGGTAAAATCAACTTCCATTAATTGTATTTTGATAATAATAATTTAATTGTCAGCGTGTATTTTATGTTCTAAGTTGTGGCCAACGTGTGAATATGAGAACAAGAAGATTGCAAGATTAAACTCTCCAATGAGGAGTCTTTAGTGATATCTGAAACTTTAGAAAATCATGGAATCTTCCCATATGGTACTTGAATGACCAAAGCATACTTTTTACAATATTATGCTTTTAAATATTAAATCAAGGTTATATCGTTATTTTGAAATGAGTCTCATTATCAATTAAGAAAAAACTCAAAAATAATGAAGATATGTTATCATTCACATAAATGAGTTGATTTAACAAAAAATAGCTTTTGATAAGAATAACAGACAAGGAAACTTTCCATTATAACAATGTTTTATTTATTTATATGACCTTTGGATACCATGTTAATGATCTAGTCCAAAAAAATTAAAAAAGTTCTTCAATTTTCAAAGCTTACTACTTTTAACAATTGCTTGTAGGGAATGATCTTACATGAAAAGAGGCAATTTTACGGTTTTTCTAGCATACGAAAAAATGGGAATAAAGTAAGCTATGTAGTATCAACAATAGGCCTCTAAGAATGTGGGACTAGTCACTTGAGTGAGCATTTTAAACCAGTTTTCGATGATTAATGACAAAGAATGAGGCAACAAATATCCCTACGTAATGATTAATCTCCCCAAAATCATATTAAAGAATTTAATAATTTAGAAATATAATTAAACATTTTCTATCAAATCATCAAGCATCGTCTCTCAAAAAGAATATTCTACATTCATTAATTCACACCATGAGAAGCTACATGCCATACATTTAAGAACATTCATTTGACTATTTTTTATTTGAGTGGTTATAGTACAAGGGAATATTTTAAAACTTTTATTTTTTTGAGGAGTTTTATTCCACCATGAGACATATCCTCACCATTAAAATATGTAGTAAATTCAAATTCTCATTTTTTTTGCATGATTGCTTCTAAAATTCTAAGACTCTATTCATTTTCAATCTTTCAAGAGAGTTTCACCAGTGATTTTAGTGTTCCATCCTCAAGAAAAGAACAATCAATTAAATCCATTCAAATAATCTAGAGTCACAAAATCAGATATGTCTACTAAAGGGATCCAGCTAGACCAAATAAATAAATGTGAATCTCTAAAGAGATCTAGCTATTAGAATGAAATCAATTATGCTTCACATTAGATCTAATTTGAAGCTTCACATTTAAACAATTTTTGAAGCTAGACCTCAACTATGCTTCACATCAGATCCAATTTGAAAATTTTAAAATAGTTTTCATATTCACTTGTCATAATATAAATAGCATATAAATCTAAGTAATCGATTGACATATTTATTGAAAAGCACAATATATTTCATGAGGTTTAATAGGCATAAACTATATTGATCCCACGCTTTAAGTAGTAAATATATGAGTACTAGTGGAAAAGTTACAAATGTTGGAACATCTACTTTTTAATTGTATTTTTATTCCATTAACATATTGTTGATTAGTACTTATGAGATTGTTTGATAATCTTTTTACAGGAAAAACATTCTTTATTTCGATGCACAATAATATTTTTATTTATATTATCCTCGAATTAAGTTCTCCTTGCTTTGAAGATGACAAAGTTAGTCATGCCATTCTTTAGTCATTTACCCTGAGCACTTGATTCAAGTCCAATGACAACTACACATGCTAGAGGTTCACCCATAATGCTTTCATAAATATTTATTTCCGAATAAAATACACAAATCATTTTGTGCAGGGATTAAAAATAAATTTTAATTTTTTTTGGGCATCTTAATTTATTTTATTTCTATATAAGTTTTTAGGCAACTTTTTATATGTATTCTATTCCAAACATAATAAATAAGTTTAATGATCATCTAAATCATTGGACAACTTTAAAAAAATAATTGTGATTTTCTAATTGTTAGTATCTGATAACTTTCATTAATTACATAATAATATAATTATTTTTTATAATTTATTATTTAACTTTTTTGAAATATTAACAAAGAACTTTAATTTATAAAAATTGAGATTAATATTATTTATGTGATTTTGATGTTAATTTTTATAAATTCTATATTGAAATTTATTATGAAATTTTTGAGAGGTTTTATCACTAATCATTATTATTATTTAGAATACTTCTACATTAATTGCACTTTTTCTTGAATTTTTAAAAGCCTATTATGATAAAAATAATAAAATAATAATAAAAAAATGTTTATACAGGCCATATGATTAATGCATGACTTGCACCATGGGCTGACTTTAATTGTTTTGATGGAGGTATTTTAAAATTTTATGACAGTATTTTTTATATATACAAAAATTTCTCTGAATTTCTGTGAATTTTTGACATAACGAATACGACAAGAAATATGATAGGTAATTCAAAAAAAATTGATGAAGTTTATATATGGGAAGATGTAAAAATAGTTTCAAAAGAAAAATCAATCATTCTCAATCAATTTATTGTCCTTTGTAACAACATTTTCTCTCTCTTTCTTGTAGCTATAAATGCCATATCCACCGAAATCATTCATATGATACAAATGATGATTTTTTTCTCAATTTTTCTTGATTCAATAACTATATAAGGTGAACTTTGTCCATGCACTCATCTATTCTTCACTTGATCTAGATTGTAATGAACTTTTTATGAGGATCTTTCTCCAAATGCTATGGCATGCTCAAAGTTGAACTATCACTACTGATCATTTTCAATTAGTGATAATTGTTGGGATCATCATTTATTGACTCTAGATTGTATAGGAACTCAATTGGTGCATTAGTACACAAATTGATAGAATTCGGGTAGAAACTCGATCAATAATTATTCTTTCATAAAACTTAAAATTTACATGAATTTTACTAATTTTAATTTATAAAAAATGGATTAAATCCTACATTGTGTTCTAAATAATTTCTTATTGAAATTAAAGTTTAATTTGAACTATTTGAGCTTTGACTTTGAGAAATTAGAGTTGACATATCTTTTGTGGCTCTAAATTTCAGGGTGTTCTTCATGATGATGTATGATGATGTCATAATCCCTAATTTAATACTTTAATAGGTGAAAAATTCCACAGCTAAAAAATCTAAGAAAATAATAAAGCAATTAAAAATCATGAATCTAATTAACTAATTTTTTTATCTTCCCTTTGTTCGACCTAGAAGAACCCTATAAAATTAAATATTTCTGAATTGACATATTTTCCACTATTTATAAGTTTTAAATTTTCTAAATTTTCTAAACAATGGTAGAAGTTGTTCAAACAATATCCTAATACGAACTTCTAATTGATTCATTTAACTCCAAAGAAATAAGTGAAATCAATAGCTAAAATGAAACTTTCAAGTATTAAAATCAACATGGTAAGTAAATTATCTTATTCCAATTTTCCCATGGATATGATTTGCTCAATTGAAGACATGTATATGAGTAGAATGTTATTCTTAGAGTGGTTTTTGAGGTTCTAGCCATAAGTTCTACTTCTTAAGGTTTTTTATAAATTTATATAAAAGTGATGGAATCTCACATCACATATTTGGCTTAGGTAATCTCATGTCAAATGGATTAGCACCTAATCAACCTTTTTCTACATACATGATTCTCAAGTACTAGAAACACATAGATAAAATAATAAAGAAGTTTGATGCATATCTTTTATCAAGATGAATTCAAATGCTTGTTGGAAGAAAGGTAAAATAACTTTTTAAAATAATAGGTCATACATGCAAAAAATAATTTTTCAAAGTATTATATTTTAGTTATTGACACTATATTCAATTGGCATGTAAATATTAAAATATTTTCATAACTCAAATATTTAATAAAAAATTTAAAAATATATTCATCACTCATTGTCTTGCAAGTTTTTTTTATTCACTTCCTTATTCTAATTTACCATTAGTTGCACACTTGAACATGAATAGTACATTGCTAAACTGATACATGATGTTAAGTCTTGCCATTGAGTTATGAAGATATTGTAATAAAAAATTAAATATAATTTTTATATTAGATGATATATGTGATGTTAAGTCTTGCCAAACATTGAAGTAGTTATACTCAACATTAGTTTTAAACTTCACATGTGAACAACGATCAATTGGATAGTATACAATACTAAAGCCTATTACATGACTGGAGATTGTATAATTGTCTTAGGTAAAATAATGGCGCATGCTACGTCAAACATCACAAATGCGACAAAAAATATATGTCGCTACTTTATTCAAAGTGCAACAACAGAAACAACCTAACAACGTTGATAATAGTTGTTAGAAAACACAAGATACATCTCCGTAGGTGTAATCATAGACAAGACCGAATAGGGTAAGAGCGTTAAAGGAGGGTGCATCGTCTCGTGGCCCTTGGCTTCTCACCAAACAAGCCTTCGGAAAAATCAGGGGCAAGAATATGATATTCGCTAGAATAGTTGTCCACGTGACGCCGTTAAATGTAAGGTCTCGGGCTAGGAGCTCTGATGGCAACATCTGTCGGATTACAGATGGCGTCACCTCGGCTACCGTCAGCCCTATTCTTCGGCGTCCAATATGCGGAATACAGTAGTGCCCATGAGAACGTTTTCGAGTCCCGTGCATCCTCATCTCTCTCTCTTTCTCTGTCTCCCTCTTTCTCTCTCTGCAAAGAAGCACGGATCAACATATCTCCGTCTACACAGTGATAATGCTCAAGGTTGGTTTTGCATTCCTTGCAGCATGGGAGGGATACCAACTGCACCGATGACTACTCTTATGAATCGATTGCAAGTGTGGATATTTGAACTGCATTTCATTTCACTGTTCACGCAGGTGGCGGAACGATGTCTAAAACGACGTTTGATTGCACTAATTACGAAGAAGAGAGGAGAAACGGATGGGAGGAGAAGGGTTCTGCTGGTACGAAAGAGAGAGCAAGAGTGTGTGGAAAGGAAGGAATCTACCTTAGTAAATGGCTTCTGTGAGGTCGGAAAGAGCGTAACATCGAGAATGGGAAAGAGATAAATGAAGGAACCACCTGATTGGCTAGCGAAATGAGACGCCCCACTGGACACCCTCAGATTTCCCTCAGTCCAAATCAAGAATTGATTTTCCAGCTCGGTTCCCTTGGTTGGTCTCCTATTGGTCGTATGTCTAACCTTGGCTTAAGAGCACCCAAAGGGCGAACCGTGGGAGCGAAAACCGACCAGAGCTCCAGAAGCAGCCGTCGTCTTTTAGGTTTACTTCCTCTCTCTGTTGCTCTCTCTCCACTCTGTTTCCCTCGGTCGTCCTCTCCATTTCTTTTCCCTCAGAATTGGCGAGGATTGCCTATTCTTGTCGAATGCATTTCCCAACTTTTTCCCATATCGGGTAATCTCCGATTATAGGGTAGTACAGCATCTGAAGCCACTTGGGCACTCGTATGCTTCCCAAATTTGGAAAAGCCACGCGTTTTTATATAAACAACGCAAAGGTTCCATAGATCGGGGCTTCCAAACACAAAACCTATTTTTCTTCGTAAGTTCTATACCGTGTGGGAGGATCATCCTTGCATTTTGTTGGGCACCGTTGGATCGATCAGCGAGCAATGTGGTGAGGCAAAAGAAGTCGACGTGAGAGAAGGAAGGGATGTCGAGGGGGAAGATCAAGATTAGGAAGATAGACAACACTACGGCGAGGCAGGTGACCTTTTCGAAACGGCGAAAGGGCCTGTTCAAGAAGGCGGAAGAGTTGGCCATACTCTGTGATGCCCAAGTGGGGGTGATCGTCTCCTCCTCCACCGGCAAGCTCTATGAACATTCAAGCAACAGGTGCAGATCCATTCTTTAGGCCCTTTTCCAGCTCTATCTTACTCTCTCCTCTCAGTTTTGCTTTCTCTCTTTCTTGCCGCGTCCCTCATACGGCAGTTCATATCGCGTACGCGTGGGTGCAAGTGTTACAATTTATCGCGTGCTGCTTGGGGAATTTTCCTCACTCCTCGCTCCACCCTTAAGTTTTTCATTCTTAATCGTAGTTCTTCCCTTGCTTGTTGTGGCTTTTGCTGACCCCGGAAAACTAGGCCTCTCATAAGGGTGCGGAAGTGAGACAAGAGAAACTCCGAGTAGAGAGGAAGGCGAGGGACGCGTGGAACGAGGAGGTTCTGAACAGTGCTTGCATTAGTTGGTTGACTGCTATATAGACAGATAAAGATATGCATAGATCGGTCGGTAGAAAGAGAGAGGAGAAAGACCGAGAAGGGGAGAGAGGGAGCAAGAGAGAGAAGAGAGAGCGAGAAGGGGAGCGAGAGAGAGAGAGAGAGGAGAGAGCGAGAAGGGGAGCGAGAGAGAGAGAGAGAAGAGAGAAGAGAGAAGAGAGAAGAGAGAGAGAGAGAGAGAGAAGAGAGAAGAGAGAAGAGAGAAGAGAGAGCGAGAGAGAGAGAGAGAGAGAGAGAGAGAGAGAGAGAGAGAGAGAGAGAGAGAGAGAAATCGTGCGACAGGTCGGGAAGAGATACAGGGAGAAGAGAAGAAGCCGAGCGAACCTGGACAGCTTCGAGTAGGGTATGGCTTTATCCCACACTGGATGAAAAACAGACTAGGCCACAACTTTGTCTACATGATTCGGTTTTAAGATATGGGACAGTAAGTGAACTTCAATCAACTATTTTGACGCACTATCAGAGAAGTTTCCATGTAATTTATAATTTAAACAAGAGTTATCCATAGCCGTTGTAACCCTACTTGGAATATTTTTTTCCCTGCTCAAGGGACATGATATCCTTAATAGGTAATATAACAGTGATTACCTTGTTTTCTATTGGCAAGCAAGTAGTGAGTTCTACGTAGGATGGCCACGTTATGAATTATTTTCAGTTATTTCTCTATGTCCAATGATGACTTTTGTTAGATCTTATTGTTCGGTACTTCCCAAAAATCTAATTTTCTTTTAATTTACATATTTCTCATTATTTGTACATATTTACAATTATGGTGATTGAAATACGTGAAGATGACGTATTAAACAGTGATCATGTGTCTGGCATTTCATTGCGTTGGCAAAGATCAGTAGGTTCGTGACTTCCTGCGTCAAATTTTATCCCCAGCTTGGGTTTGGTAGCATTCAAATTATATGGGTCTTCATATTAGGTTGAGGTGGATTTACAGAGTTACCATAACAAGATGTGACATTTGTCAATGGTGGTTTATGTTACGATAACAGGAGCGCATTATGACTCTCATTGTTCTGTAAGTTGACCTAGATTGGTTTCATACTGTTGCCAATAAAACTATTGACGAAAATTCGAACCTTATTTATCGTCCGGCCTTATTTTATAGGATCAAATTAAGAAAATAAAAAAGTCAAAAGCATAGGGGCAATGTTATTAGGACCTTTATGCTTGACAAGGCCTAATATATTGTTCTATTAATCGTCGGTCAATAGGGCATCAAAGCGTTGACACATCGTGTTATTGTTTGAGTGCTATGTCTTTCTACTATTTTTCTACCACATGAAAATGCCCACCTGCATTACTAAGTTTCTTTGTTCTCAGTCTGAAGTACATTTGCCATTTGGAAATGTATTAAAACATGATTTATTTTTTGTAGATAATTTCTCCCGTTTTCTGCAAGATAGTGAACCGTTCAATGAGTTGCCTAGTCCAACTGCAGTCGCTTAGGTTGTAAGTCTTACGAAGTAGACTAGGCAATTATTAAGCATCCTCATCACAAATTGAGAATACACAATCTGTCAATAGTATGATTCTAATGGTTGATTAGATGATACCACATCATTGATCATATATTTTCTGTAGTAGAGTATGAAAACTTACATTTCAATATTTATTATTCTCGACTTAACAAGGTCGAGTTTTCTAAAAAATAAATTGCTAATATTGATTATTTCCCATCTTTTGAGAATATATCTATGAAAACAATTAATGGGCCACATTTTACGTGCCATATTTTAGATAAGATTATGGTCATTAGTGAAGTAAAGCTTATGCATTAATCAAAGTGTCAATGCCATGGTAGTGAACTGGTGTTCGTCATATTTGGGACTCAACTAGCTTCCATGATCCTGCTCAAAGTCCTTATCACTGCTTTCTGATTTAAAATATCAAAGTGTAATAGCATCAACAATGAAGAACAAACGTTGATGTGAGAATTTGGGAATAGTCTCTAGGTAGTTTAATTAGTTAACCTAATCAGTTTTGTGTAAATTCTCAATTTTCGTGAAACAACATAAGATTGTATGAAGGCCTTGACCATTGTATTCGTGCTCACACATTTTATTTCCTTTTTTTTTTGAAGTATGAAGGAGCTAATCGAAAGACGTAATAGGCATTCACAAGATGCTCTGAAATTAGCACCACCATCTCTTGAACTCAGAGTAAGTTTTCACCTTACATGCTTTGATAAGTTTCCTCATGAAACCTATGTTGCATAGAACAACTGATTTTTAAGCATTGAATCCACAAGTCATGATTCTTGAACTTTGGAACCAGGTTCTGAACCTACAAAACTGGGAATCACGAATTCTTGAACCCACTTGGATTGACTAGAACAAACCTTTTATCCACAAGGATCAAATAGTTCTCGTGAATCAACAAGGGTTTCTTGAATCCACAAGCCCCCGTAACTCTCTCAATAAGAAAAAAAATTCATAATAACCAAAATGTCCCAAGGCTCAGATCAATTATAACCTTCTTAGAAAATAAGATCTATTATGAAAAAAACATAAAATAATCTAACAAGATAATTACAAATTAAAACTCTCACGGACTATTCATGAATTTTATCTGGGCCTAATTTGAATTTTCTTGGTTATGCATGATTTTCCACATCACTTACTCTCATTTCAGGCCTTCAAACGTGTGTAGTCCACGTTTTTACCATTTTAGGCCACTTGAGCAAGTTTTTTTCCTACTTCTTCCCGTTTTTAAAGTAACGCACTAATTATTTCTCTACTAAGGCATGAATAAAGTTGAAAGCGAAGTATTGAGGCCTACCTTCTCGTGCATAAATGGGGAGTAAGATGAAAATTGTAGCCATGCACTCGCCTTAGAACATTTTTCATTTGCAAGCTGTATCCATCCTCTAGCACTCATTACGCACAAACCATTTCGTTTTATTTGTCTGTTCATCTTTCCATTCTAAATTTTTGCAAGTACCATCGAGATACTGGTACTCAGTTTTTGCCTTCATAGCTTCTAGATAGCATCCGTGAATCACGAAGCAAGGAAGTTTTGGAGTCAACCTTACAGCTCAGGTATGCCATTCCGAATGGAAGTGAATTAGAGTTTTTTACGGGCTGCTCAAACAAGCACTTCATTATTTTTTTAGGCAGATGAAAGATGAAGGTATTGAAGGACTAACACTGGAGGAGCTTCAGAACTTGGAGAAAGCACTGGAGACTGGACTGTGCAGAGTTCTGGCAAGGAAGGTATGCGTGTGATTTCTTTCGGACAACTTTGAAGGTAATCTACGGGCAGATTTTATTCTACAGCGATATCTACTTCCCAGGGTCAGCAAATGGCTGAAGAAATAAAAGAGCTGCAACACAAGGTCGGTAAATAGATGCTATCTTGTCACCTCTAATAGCCTCCTCTTTTAGCATTTCTTCGATTTCTTCCTATTTGTGGGAAAATGTGAAACCTATAAATCGGATGGGCAGACCTGCATCTTTTGCTATGTAGACTGTACTTCCTGGCTCCTTAAATTAATACGAAGTCCTCATATCTCGTAGTCAACCTTCCTTTCCTTCATGGAAGCCCTGACGCACAGCTGAACTTAGTTTCCCCTTCTCAGAGCAACTGGTCTCCTGTGCTATAAAAATGGGAGAGGACGGAATCAGACTTGGAAAATGGTAGCCACATCCCCCTTGGCTTTTTAGGTCTAACTAGAGGACGAGCTACTACATGATACCAAATAATACATGGCGGCCAACGGCCACCTTTTCAGGACTCAAAAGCACACTGAAATGATGGTACGTCTATCAGGTCTGCATTCCAATCGCCTCTATAATGTGGCCTCTCACGTTAGACCAATCTTTTCTTCAGCCTTGTTGAAGAAGTAGACAGACCCATTACCTGGTAAAGACCTGCAGAAACAGGAAAGAGGCGTTAACGCTGAAGTAAAAGCAGCAACCACCTTTGTTGAAGGCGTTGGAGGACGCCGTATAGCTTCCTAGAGTTTATATCAGTCTATTGGAGGACGCCGTTGACGCTGGGGTAGATAGTAGATACCAGAGCTTAGCTTAGACAAGTGCAGTGAAACGTAGAGTAGAAGACACCAGCGTGCTACTAATAGAGCGCAGAGTTGAAGATAGATTGCTACACTTAAGTTTTCATTGATGACGCAGATGGTTACTTCATAGTCTGGAGCAGGAGTCACCAGGGCAATAAAATCTGGCATTTATGCTGTAGCGGTAGACACTGAAGTTAGACTTGAGAGTAGTACGTGGCAGCGGAAACCAGAGGAAATTAGTCCCGAAAGCAACTCTTTTCGCTCTATTTTTTTTCTTTCTTACTGTGAAAAAGACTCAGAGAAGAGAAGAATGAGAATGTATAGCCCATGGGTACCTCGGAGTTCCTCTCATCATTTGGTCGGAAGACCAGAAGTAGTGATGAATGACATCTAGGAGCTGGGTGCTGAAGGGTTGGAAGCTACAGCCGTGGAATCGCAAGCGTCAGCTGCGGAGACGTTCTCGATGAGTTGTGGCAGCGTGTTGTCCCGCAGCAATTGGAAAAAAATGTCGATATTTTTCCTATGGAAGAAAGCCCCAAGGTGAGGGGGAAGGAGGAAGGAGGAAGATGAAGAGATGGCATCTGGGTTGTGGGAGTCCACAACAACAGAACAGCGCATGTGTGAGCTGCTGTTGCTGTTCGTCTTATCCTCGAAGTGTGAGAGGTTGGTGGTTGGCCGC